AGTAGTAGTAGTAGTAGCAGTACTGCTTTTTCGCGATTCTTCTCTCACTCTCTTCTCTTCGGCGAGCGAATTCCCGGTGCGCGCGCGCCTCCACCTCCTCCGTGGTCAACTGCAGGGCCGCCCGGAGCCAACCGAAGCGTTCCTGGAGCAGCTCACCTCGGAGCTGCGCTGATTGCAGAGTGTACAGAATTCAGCAGAGATTCGGAGCATAGCTTACTTGTTCGCTTGAGCCCCAGGCGCCTATCACAGCAGAAGTCATTGCACCACATGGTATCTGTGTGCAAACTCAACACACTATACAAGCACGACTGGTTCGACTCGGCGCCTCACCTGGGCACTGAAGGTCAGGCATGTTTCACAAGGGTTTCTGCTTTGGAGGCTTGAGGCCTTGCTCTTCGAGAAGATGAAACATCTTTTGCCCCTCTGCCTCACCGAAGCTGCGAGCCGGGTGGCGCGAGCCAAAAGGCACTTTGCAGCGGTCCAAGTTTCCCTCGTAGATGAGGGGATTGGCCTTATCTTATTGGGAGGGTTCCCTCAACGGCCCCAAAACCCCTGGCCCCCGTTTAGCAGACACCCAAAAACTGCCTCGGCACAGGCTAAACCTCAAGGCCCAGCGGCCCGCCGCGCCGCCTCCACGTGCTCCATCAGGAAGGCCACGCAGACCGAGTGCCCCAGCAAGGCTCCAACCAAGGCCGAGAGCCCTCCGGCCGTCTCTTTCGAACAAGGGAGGAAAGGGGAGAGGGGAAAGGGGAAAAAATAGGCGTTGAACTCGAAGCTTCAGTCTGGCTCCCATGTTGGGGTTCCCTTTCATTGGCCAGTCCTGTCATAAGGACTCACAAGAGGGCCCTCTTCTGGATAGTGACAACCACCCGCAAATCTCACATGTCGGATGTTGCAGTTGCTCTCATCGCTCCTTCTGTCCCAGCTTGCTTGGGATTTAGAGCTCTTGGCAGGGCTCAGGATGTGTGGGGAGGGTGTGTCCTATGAAAGTGCTGTTTAAGTGCTACAAGTACTTGCTGATCGGGCGTTTTTGTTGCTCATGGCTATGATGAGACCCGCTGTAAGAGCATGTGCAGAGCTAGCCTTGCTGACTTCGCTACCTCCACCCCAAACCGGGAGCCTCCTGCTCTGTCTCGCTCCACCCCGGAGAGGTCGGCCAGAGGGACGTTGGCTTCACGAACCACAAAGCTGCCCACGGCAGACACGGCCCGGTTCGTCCAGGACCTGGCAAAAAAAACGCCCTTTCCCAGGACTCAGGGTCTCCGCTCCTGCCAGCAAAAAGTCTTAGACTTAGACCCTCCGTCAGAGTCTGCGGCCGCGCGGCCCCAGCGCTTTCAGCGCGCGGCCCGGCTGGAGCCAAGCATCGGCCTCGCATGGCGGGCTCAGGGCAGTGAAGCTGGGAATGAAACTCAGCTTTGGCAGTCTCCCGGTGCAGCTACGGTTGACAGCAGCACGCGCCAGGCGCGCGTTGGGTCTGGGCTTTGGCCCTAAGACGGCTGAAGCTGAGTCGCCCATGGAGCGCCGAGCCCGAGGAGGGCCGCGGCCAGCAAAGGGACGCGTCGACACTTTGGCCTTGGCCCAAGGCCAAGGCGATCAGCGCCTCGCACCATTGCCAGCTGCGGCGCTGAGGAAAGTCATATCGAAGCGGCTTGAGCCCAGTCAGACGGAGAGCTTGCAAGTGCCGAAGACAAAGCCGTATTGCCCACACAAGCCCTCCGTTGGTGAAAAGTCCTCCGGTGTCTGAGCCGACAGTGCACCTTCGACCGAAGAAGGAAATGCGCCAAAGAGCGAAGAGAGAGAGAGAGAGAGCGACTTAGAGCCTTAAAGCTCCTGCTTTCTTTGAGGCGGGAGCTCACGTTTTCGTCGGGCACGAAGCCTGAGTCTTCTCTGCACAGCATACATGTGTGCAGCAATATGTCGCGATCAGCAAGCTGCGTTCCTCTGAATCAACATGTCCTTCCTCAGAAGCTCCCTCAGATGACTCTCTGTGGACGGCCTCCGGATGTCGGATGGCGGAGGTAGCCCAAGTGCTGGCAGAAGTCCCCCAGAGATGCATAGCCTCAGATCCACTCAGGCTCGAAGACCAGGCCTAGGGGCCGTCACTCCCCGCCTGGCAAGAGATCCCCAAGCTGCTTCTGCACGGCCACCTCTCTGAGTCCAAGCTTGGCTTCAGGCTTCTAAGCTGAGCGTCCCGGCCACGGGGTCCGCCAGGGCCCTCCGGGTCCGCCTCTTCGCCTCTAAAAAACCAAAGACAGAACCGCAGGACGCGTCAGACGTCAGACGTCAGCTGCTGGCGCGCCCCTTCCCTTCGCGTCGCCCCCCCCCCCCCTTCCCTTCGCCTTGGAGGCCCGGTCCACCATCAGCAGGCCCTCGGCCAGCACCTCCTGTGCTTCGGCCCAAGCACAAGAACCAACACCGCGGGGACCCGCGTCCGCGCGACCTTGCTCAGCCTCGTTTGCTCGGCTCTGCAGCTCTTTTTGTCGCTTCTTCTCTTGGGGTCGCAGGGAGACGAAAAGCCCACGTCAGGCAGGCGACTGCGACGAAGCCGACGAAGGCACTGAAGCCTCGCTTCAGGAGCTGCTGGACCTCCCGAGGTGCCCGAGGCTCCCCGTGCCTCGCCTTGAAGCCGCGCAGCGTCTCCGAAGGCGACGGCGCCTCCTCCGCCTCCGCGGCGGCCTCCGAACGCCGCCTTAAGGCGGCGCCGAGCAGCTGGGGCGTCTCCTCCACCAAACCCAAGATCTCGGCCTCCTCCAAGGCCCGCTCCAGGTTGCTCTCATCCACGAAGTTCGCCGAGACGGCCACGGAGGTCTTCAGGTTCTCCACCTGACTCAGGAGCTGCCCAGCGCCCGGTTCCCCCCAACATCTCTTTTTGGGACTAAGACTAAGACCTTATATCTCAAAAGAGTCCCAGGCGCCTGGTGAGGCCATCCCGCCGGCACGAAGAGGAAATCCCCCGGCTCCAGGAGGACCTCCGACACCGAAACGAAGGCGTAGTCCTCCTCCTCCTCCTCCTCCGCCTCGAAGGCGTCGAGGTCCTTAGGGAAGACCGGGTTCAGGTCCGTCAAATAGAGCGGACGAAGGAGGCAGAGATCCTCTGCACTCACCAGCCGCCAGCGCTTCTGCCCATGGCAGAGCATCATCCAAAAGTGCGTCTGCAGCGTGTCGACATGAAGCGAGGATCCCGTCCCTTGCGCCGCCAGGAACAGCGTGGGCCCCGCCGAGCCCGTCACGGGATGAACTTCCGCAGAGGCCGAGGTGTACAAGTCCTTTGGGAAGACCTGTCACAGCAGGCTTCCCTTCTTTCCCCGCCCAAAAAAAACTGCCGAAACAATGTGCGGGAGTTTAGGGGGAGGGATTTCAAGATACTTCCTCACCTGGCTGGGCATCAGCAGCTCGCGCCCGATGTGGGTGTCCTCACAGTGCTGCCAAATCGAATGGTCGAAGAGCTGAGGGCTGTCCCTCGGTGCCAGCACCCCTTCCGCGAGGTAGGGCAGGACGTGTGCATCATAGAAGTCAGAGAACGGCACGGCGCTCACGAACTCGAGCCTGCACAGCGCCGAGCTTGATTCACAAACGGCTCCGTGTGCAAGACGTGGGAGAGCCGGTGCACAGGGATGTGCAGCTAAGGCGAATGAGTCTTAGCTTTCCCGTTCCAGAACGACGAAAAATCGAGAGTCGAGAGCCCTGCGCTCCGAAAGTGAGAAAAGTCGAAGTTGTGGAGCCGAGCGGCGCAGCCCAATTTGCCGAGGCATCCTCACAGCGCCGGATGGGCACCCGCCGGTGCCCCAAGATTTCTCGCAAGTCCTCTGGTGCCCAGCGCGGTGTCTGGAAGCCCCGCAAGACAAAGGGCCTCTCCATTCCAGGCACAAGGAAGCTTCGGAGCTCCTCTCGCGTGCTGGAGCCCGGCAGAATCTCCAAGTCCAAAGCTGCAGAGCGTCTCTGCCTCTGCCCACAACTCCGCAGGCGGTGCCGCTGCTCCTCCCAGCGGAGATGCCGTTGAACCATGGCGCCGAGCAGCGCCGCCGCGGCTTTCTGCGAGGAGGGGACCTGGGCCCCGTGCTCAGCCTCTGCCAGAGAAAGCTGCTCCGCTGCCTCCCGGTGCCGGCGACCCAAATCCAAGACCGAGGCGAGCTGAACCCGCTCCCAGAAAGTCGCCGAGGCCGACTTCAGCTGCTCTTCGACGCTCTGCAGCCGACGCGAGGCTTCCGCCGTGCCGCGGACCACCTCCAAAGGCCTCAGAAATCCACCGGCACCGCCTGCGCCGCAGACTCTTTGCAGGAGGTCGCCACGCAGCTCCCGCCAAGCGCGGCGCGCCATCTCGAACTCCGAACCCCATCGAACACATCCATCCAACGCTCAAGGAAAGACGGGCACGACCAGGAATCGGATCACTGGGCGACAACATCGGATGCAAAAGAAGAGAGTCCGACTCCCTGCCTTCTCTTTCTTAACGATGTCCGTGTAGACCTCTTGGTGGGCGAGACGACCCAGAAAAAGAGCACGACGCTACGCTGCTAGCTGTACGACTCTAAGCAGTCTGCCACGACTGCTGCTGAAGGATCGAAGGTGGCCGAGACCTGTGCAACAAAGGGGCCCAGAGAAGGAGCGGGACCCCCCCTCCCTGGAATTGATGTTTCCGGAGCAGGTCCCCCGGCCCCTGGAAAACGCGGCTGAGGCTTGTTTCGGTCCGGCGGCTGGCCGAAGCGCACACAGGGGACCTCTCGATTTCTCGATTTTTCCGGATCTCTCCGACTGGCAGCAGACAGGCAGAAAGTGGCCAGGCCAGGCCAGGCCTTCTGCTCCATTCGGACGCAACCCAGGGGAGTCCATCTGGAGAGGACACCCCCCAAAAGACAAGAACGCCGTTGGCGACACCAATAGGGCTTTATGGGGGATCTCCAGCGGTTCCAAGGGTTCTGCACCGGGGTCCCGTTGCAGGTGGGTTTTGGAAGTTGCCAGGCTCATGACATACCTGGAAATGCCTTCCCAACTCCGAGAGAGCCACTCGTCTCTACCAAGATGGCGAGATGCAGCACACTCTGGTCCGCGAAGCAGGCTGATCACGAGTTGCGATGGGTCGGCAGTGTCCTACCTTGTTTTTTCATTCTGACATGCTCAAGGCGCTGCCTTTGGCATGCGCCGGTGGTCCATTATCACAGCCGCATACTGCAGCTCCCTATGTTTACTGTCGCATATCTTGGGATGAGCTTGAAAAGTGTCAGCGGACCATGCCTCACTGGGTCACGTTTGCTCTGTTCTGCCAATGGGCCTATCCTCTATCATGTTCCAGACTTGGGCTGCCTCAGCATCTGATGGCCAAGCAGCGCTACTCCTGGCATGTTGTCACAAGATGCCAGGCACACTCCGCAGATCCAGGACCGTGAAAGGTCTGTCCATCCCCCCTCCTTGTCCAGGACCCTCGAAGACCACGCCGAGCGTCCTATCCTCCAGGCGGCGCGGGGTTGTCGCAGGAGTCGCTGGGTTTTGCTGGGGCGACGGCTGGATGGGAACCTGCACCTGGCCCTGGACAGGCCTCCAAGAGGATAAGAGAGCCGCAAGAGCCTTCTTGAGCTTGAGCCGCGAAGGACCCACAAATCTGAGAATGCAGCGAGGACGAGGCCGACTCGGCCGACTTCCGCAAGTTGCCCGCCGGGCCCTCCTCCGGCGTCCTCCGCGATTTCAACTTAAGAAATGCCCTCCTTCCAAGGCCCAAGGCCCAAGGGCCCAAGGCCCTTCCAAGGCCCTCGGCTCCTCTCTGCTTTGCCCTCGGCAGACACGCCCGCTAGGCTCGCTAGGCTCTCTTTTCGCAACTGCTTGGCTTTTTGCTTTTTTCAACCAAGCTGCGATGCAAGTGGATTCTGGGACCACCTCCCTCTGCACCTCAGAGACGACTGGGAACCCGAAGACCCCCCCTTCTTGGGACCTTCCAGGAGCGTCCGGGGCAACTGCAAAGCGGCTTGTGACTGCTGCAAAGGAGTCGGTGGGGCTGTCGCCGTCGGCGTATCCTGCAAGGGCCAACAGCGTCTGTGCCAGGTTACATGTTTCATGCTGTTGCTGCTAAGCCTCTTTGTCCTCCTGCAACTCCGTACTATTTCTTGACACTTTGCCACGTACTTCCTATAGCTCACTGTCACTGTTCCCACAATATTCCGAACTTCTACAACTGCGGTGTCGCTACTTGTACTTGTGCATGCAGTGACCACTACTGCAACTGATTTTGATACGGTGATCCAACATAGACAGCTGCATGTCTGCCACTTATGGCTAGCTTTGCTGTCCCAAGCCTGCACCCTGAGATTCCCTTCTTCAAGACCTCTCATGAAAAGACTTCCGCCTCTCGCCCCTCGTTGTCTAGGTATCTCGGTCCAGGGCTTCTTGCATCCACGAGTGTTGTGGGCATGCCTTCGAATGTGGAGGACATCCGAGTCTCGAGTTCATGCCGGCTCAGATGCTTCCCAGAAAAGTCTGGATCCTTGGTTCCCTCTAATGTTGGGATGCCGCGCTACACTCTTCGAATCAGCCGTGAATCCTGCAATCCTAGTTTGGCTTAGGAGACTTGGCTGAAAGCCTACGTGCGACTTCCAGATGCTGCTGCTACTCTGCTGCCGCTACGGCTGCGGGCGGCTACTTCTACTGCCACTCCTGATCTGTGTAACTCTACCATGGCACATAGAACCCTGAACCCTAAAACCCCGAACCCTAAAACAACACCTCGAGCCAGGTGAGATCAGCACACAACAGATGCCTCGTTGCACCAACCCTGAGCGTCTACTCTCACTAGGATCCTGAAGCTCTTGGGCTGTAAGGTGGATGAAGTCTTGATGGCACGACGGTAGCAAACTTTTCTTCGCCACCATCGCATGGCCTAGTCAATCATCTTCACGTAGATGCTTATCTATGTGATTTCACCTCTTAGGCTAACAATTGGACATCGGGCCTTGAATCAAACACAAACTGCCATGGTCCCTGTCGAATCATCGTGCGTGACTGGAGGATCCTCTTACCGGCTAGACTCATCTCTTGCAACAGTCATTCGACATAACGGAGAGAGAGAGAGAGAGGCTTTGTCGTGGAGTGCTTGTTATTAAGATTCGGCCTTTCAACCCCTAGAAACTTCATTTCCGCGAAACCCCCACCCCGAAAAAACACAGAAAGGCAGGAAAATCACAAAACCTCTGCCTGCCCGCACGGCACCTGGACTCCTCTTGACCGGGCCGGCCTTAGGCGAGAGGTGCTCCGATCCGGGAGGAGCGGATTTTTGTATCCCTCACCTCGTGGCCCTTTCGATGTCGGAGTGGAGAGGGAAGACAAGAGCCTACTTGTACTCTCTGCAGGGGTTTAAGGTTGAGGTTTGGCAGTCTTTCTTACACCTCCTCTTTCCCCTCGCTTCCAATAAGCTTGGCGGTTCAAGGCTTAGGCTCCGAAACCTACGAGAGTAGGTTCAGCATCGTCATTCTCGTCTTTCAGCTCATGCAATTTGCAACTGTATGTCATGGTAGCACATTCAGCAACGCCTTCCTGTCCACGCTCTGTCTGAACGGGCCGGGTTACTATCATCAGCAGTGGCGCAAGGAACGTGAAGGTGTACGTGATGGCGATGATTGCATTCAGCATCAAGGTCCAACCAAGCTTTCCTTTCCAAGCTGTACAGAAAGGAGTACTGCTCCGGATTGATTATGGACATCGAAAGGATTTCCAAGCACAAGATGACAGAAGCCTTGCCACGATAAAGACTAGCAGTAGCAGTGGCAGCAGCAGTAGCGGTTGTGGCCATGCGCCCCTTGGCGTTGATCGCTTTTTGTCGTGTTCCGACATCGTGAATATCATGGACACATCGAGGAGCGACGTCCTATCATGAACTTGTCATGAACACAAGCAAGGACGACGTCATGCTGATTCTCGGCTGGGACTCAAGACTCAGAATCTTGACCCAAGGCACAGCCAGATCACGAAAGAAGCCTCTAATGATCTAGACGTGATGACGACGATGACGACACAGGATCATCATCATCAGCAGCAGCACCAGCAGCATCCCGCTCTTGAGCGGGACGATACGAGACCATTTCTGGCAAGCTTCTGAAAAGCAAGATGCGGCATGGAAGTAGGAACGCGCAGCCGGCAATCGTGGTCAGGGCGCCTTTGCCAGAAACTTCGTAACTCGATTACAGTGAGAGACACAGCATCCAGGGCTTTGAGCCTCCCAGTATGGTCGGCGTCAGCATTACGAGCCTGGACGGCTCAGTATAAGCACAAAACATACTGCAACCGATCAGCACCATGTTCACAGAGTGCCCCCCCCCGTTTGCCGCCGCGCTGCGCATGGTGCACCCGTACCTTGGCCTGCCGGCCACTGGCCGTGTGGTATCCTCGCGCATCAGGAGTATGCAGTCTTCGACACTTGTGCATCTACCCCTCAGCTGATCTCAGCTGTCTCTCTCTCGGGCGGCACAGAGGTTGTGGGGGTCCGTGTGCTAGATGGAGGCAATAGTCAACACTGAGGCCCACGAAGATCGTTGCGCCGATCGCTTCGACCACGCCGAAGTCGTAGTCCAGGACGTTCCTCCCAGAAAGCGCCGGCGTTGCTTAACGGACTGCAGCATTTCTGCATCCAAGGCTCAGGAGGAAGCCCGAGAGGACCGAGACCACCAGCAAAATGTTCAAGCACACGTAGAAGGCCAGCAGTATGTCCCGGGTGAAGAGGGCCACGGCCACCATCGAAGTGGATAAGGAAAGTGAGAAGGCCAGGATTGTGCTGGAAAAGACAGACTCCTCAAGAGCCATACTGGTCCACACCCAGGACACCATCATGGCTTGTCCTTGCAGAGTGTGCGTTGGACACGAGGAAGGAGGTCTTTCTACGCCCAGCCCGATGATTCAGCGCCCGTCCAGCTTCTGGCGGGGCCCTCTGGTTCAAGGACGCTACGAAGTCCTCGAGACAAGTGCTGCTGGACATCTTGAGAAGGAGCTCCCTGACCGCGGCGCCTGCCAGCGCTGCCGGACCACATCCTTCTGCTCCTTTGCAGCATTCACCGCCATGTTCACCTGCAGAACAAGCAAACAGAACAGGACCTCAAAACGTCCAAGCCGCAGCAGCCGCTGTCTTCGCCCGCCTTCATGCGGAGCCTGGAGAACATCACACGGCCTGCCTGGGCGGTCGACTTTGTCACCACATCTGCGTGACCGGACTCTGGCCACCCAGCGGCGAAGTCCTCGCCAGCTGTCCGGACATCCTTCTGGTAACCTTAGCGGTCCCAGCCCGAAAAAGAGTAGAAAGTACGAGCCAAGGGACCAAAGAGCTCTCCGCCAGGAAGCTATTTAAACTGGCCACGTTCTGGTGCATGAAGGCCTGGAGCTCATCTGATCTGGATCTATCGAGCATCTTCTAACATGACCTTCTTCCACCTCTCTTCGCTCTCGTCTCTTCTCTTCTCATCTCTGCCCTGCTACTGCTTATGCGCAGTGGGATTCTGCATGGATGCGACCTGAAAGGTCAACAGAATGTGTTCCAATTCACCTCTTCTTCTGCCCTGGCTGGACGGAAAACGCTGATTTTCCGTCGGCACATAGGATAGACGAGAAATAAGCCTGAAACCCTGTAATTCTCGACAAGAAGCCGAGACGAGAAATTCACAACGCATCCTTTAGGCCTCTACGTCCGCGTTCCTTCCCGCCCGTGTGTTCTTTCCCCGAGGCTTTCTCATATTTACGCGGAGTCCTGGAAGGCTTCCCGGACCATGTCGGAGTCGTTCACGGGGAAGGCTCCTCGCCGTAGGCAGGCGCGCAGAGAAAGAGGGGCGAAAGGCACGGGGCGAAAGGTCGGGCGGCCTCCGACCAGAGGCATGAACTCGGCGAAGCCTCAGAGAAGGGAAAATAACGAGGGACCTACCCAGGCCTATACCTAGAGGGCGACGGGGGGCGGGCCCTGCTACTGGAGGCTCATCTTGAAGGTTTCTGAGTGGGAGGTTTCCTAAAGAAAAGCCCTGCTCCAAGAGGCTCTCGATCCAGCAGCTGAGCCTGGCGAGAACGCAGCGAAGAAGCACAGGCACTGGCACCCGGAAAGGTTCCCTGAGAGCTAAGACCGCTCAGACCGCGGCTCGCTCTTCACCAGGAGCCCTGCGTCGGCTCGGGCCTCGGTGCCTGGGAGGGGTCAAAAGCGTCGCCCGTTGCTACTACAGCTAGACGCCACCGCAGCCTAGATCTTCGGTGGCGTCTAGCAAGAGGTGGGGCAAAAACGATAAGGGGGGAAGGAAGCTCGGGCCCGCGCAGGTTCGCAGCATGTGGGCCTCCGTTTTCACTCAGTGACGACCACGGGAGACCCTTCTACTTCAGCGACGCCTGCACTGCCGGGGACAACAGATCCACCGAGCCATCATAAGCTGGTGCTGACCTGTTGTCGTCTTCGTAACCTGCGGGAGCTTTGGAAGAGCATGTCAATGGAAAAGAGAAGGGGCGATGCTTCCACAGAGCACAGAGAGAGAGAGAGAGAGAGGAAGAGAGGAAGCGAGAGAGAGGGAGAGCGAGCGAGCAGAAGGACTATTCACAGCACTATCTTGGAGCAATGTAGGCGAAATGCCCAGCAAGCCGAACACAATGGCGATCTCAATGGCGTTCGTCAGAGGAACCTGTCCAAAGTGATACGACTCGGCAGATTCTCAGAGGCGCAGGTTAGGCTCGGGGCGCCTCTCGCTGGGCACAGTCCTCGCCCAAACTCCCTGCGAAGCAGGAGCACAAGCCCGTGGCAGCGTCGCAGTCACCTGAGAACAGGACACTTCTTCCCTCGAGGCACATGTGCCGGGCCATGTGCGATCGAATCACCCGCGTTGGTGCAGTTTCCGGGGCAGCCCTTCTCTTCACAGCGTGGCCCATAATAGGGCTCGATGCAATCGCATTCCCAAACCGCCTCAAGGTCCTGAAAGCAAAAGACACCACTTGCACGAGGTGGCGCATGTGAATCACGCGTGACCATTCCGTCCTGCGCGCCCTCTAGGCAGCTCGCATTGTTCGCGCAGGTTGGGCACTCGCGAATTGCGCAATCCTCTCCCGCAAAGGTCTCTCGACATTCCTGGGTGTCTGATCATGCTCGTGCACGAGTTTGGACCCAAATAATGAGCCAAACCCCAAAAGATTCTGATCATGAAGCCTGGAAAGCAAAAAGAAATCCCATCCAAGTGCCAAGAGACGCAAGCCCAGTCGCCAGTCTCCTGTTGGACGCAGCTGCCAGAACCGGAGCACACAGGATTTCCGGGGCATAAGATGGTGGTCGTTGTGGTGGTGCTGGTCGCTGTGGAGCTAGTTCCTGAAGCAAGGAAGGACAGCACAGCACCCCGCACCGAGCGCAGAGACGAACAAAGGCCACGTTTCCGGCGGCCGAGCGGCGCGTCGTGGGAGGGGCCCCGGAGAAAACGGAGGCGTCTTCGACGGTCAGGTTTGACCCAACAAAGCCTGAGACAAAAGCTCTCTGAAGACTTGCCAGCACAGATATATTTGCATGTCTGCGTGGGTGTCTGTGTGTGGGTGGGTGTCCGGGGTGGGCTCTGCGTCTATTCAGATTTCCGTCTAAATACTGATTTCATGTGTTGTTTACGATTGGAGTTTTGTGCTTTCTTTCCATCAAGAAACCCAAACATGTGCTCACCAGTAACTCCAACATGCACTCACCCCAAGGAACCTGTTTCTCAAAGTCTACAAGGTTTCTACTTCCTATCTTCCTAGAGATCCGCCGGCTCTCTGCCTTGGTCCCGGAGCGCAGCGTTCAGCGCCGCCTGCAGGGACGCGGCGCTGGCGGCCTGGAGCGCCGCAAAGGCCCGCGGGAAGAGCTCCAGACCCCTGGCAGAAGCGGGAGCTCTGGGAAAAGCTCTGGGGGGAACAGCATTCTAACATGAGAGCCTTTCGGTGCCTATGCCGACGAAACCGAGAATCGCACGGTGTCTGAAATGCTTTTGGGCTTCTACATGTACTAGGTCTTATGATGCGCGGCAAGACACACGGGCTGAGTCTGAGTGTGGTTCAAGGATCTCTGGTCTTAGGGCTTTGGCTGTTGATTGGTGATCTCTCTGCCAAGGCGCAGGAGGTTTACGAAAGCAGGGAGCGGGCTATGCTGCCTCAAGCGCAGCTTCTCGTCTTGTGGTTGCTCGTGCTATCGGAAGAGTCCTGCTTTCTGCCCTAAATCCTGACCCCCAAAAGCCCCAAGCCCTTGGAGCCCCTCTCCCACCCCCTCTCCCACTCCAACGGGGCGCCTTTCGGAGGGGATGTGGATCCCATACTCCAACCTGAAAAGTCTCTTCTGCTCACTTCTTCAGCAGGGCGGCCCTCCCTTTTTCGCTTCAACCCAACCTGGGCGAGGCCGCCTGCAACCTTCGAGCCTGGCACAGGGAGCGACGCAGCGAAGTTTGGGGCATGGGAGGTGTCTGTCCTGCTCCGGGCAGAGGCGAGGCTCCACCAGGGAGGCCTCCACCTGCAAGAACCAACCAAAAAAAATTGCCGGGCCCCCCTCCCCCCCCACATGGCTCGCATCTGGCTTCTCCCACGGCCTCGGCGAGGGAGGCGATGCCTTCGGCCAGCGCCTCCAGGAGCTCCGGCTCCCGCGCTGCGCTCCCGGCGCTTATGCACTCCGCCAGCCGCGCCTGCAGGCGGGCTCGGCGCGGGCTCGGCGCAGGCTCGAAATTGGCCTCTAGAAAGCTTCGACGGCCGGCCTCGCCGAAGATGTACCCGAACCCATCTGCAAAGGTGATGGTGTTAGTGGCAGTGGTGAAGGTCAGGGTGGTAGTGCTGCTTCGCGTCCATGTGCTTGTGACGCTGGTGTAGGTGCTCGATGTTTGAGAAACGGTGCTGGAGGTTCTGGAGATGCTGGAAGACGTGGAGGTCGTGCGGGTCGAGGTGCCACTTTTGCTTGTCCTGGCACGCGAAACAGCTGGGTTAGCGCAAGTGCCCGGAACCTTCCGACGACCTGCCTCTTTTGGTTCGTAGAATCGTAGAAGGCACTTCTTGAAACAGCCATGGGATTTTTCACATATCCCGATATCCCTTCCAGGCCGCGTAAAAGTGTCGTGTCTTGCCGCCTTGCCTTGCCCTCAGAGATGCGGGCTGTTAACCCAAAGCAGGCCAGAGATGCGAAGACGTGGTGGAAGTCTCGGTTGCCGAAGTGGCCTCAGAGTGAGACAGAGTGAACTAAACAGCGCTTGCTCCAATTTCAGGCTCTGGCGGTCCCGGTCCTCACAGTGTCAGGGGTCCAACGCGGCTCTTCTGGACTTCTAGACTCCAAAGGCTTAGCGGCTTAGCACAACAGTCCTGGAGGAAGTTCTGGTGTAGGACGCGGTGCTGGTTGTGGTGCTCGTTGTGGAGGTCTTGGACAGGCTTGTGGTGCGCGTAGTGGAGGAGGCCGTGGTGGAGGAGGCGGTTTTGGAGGAGGAGCGCGTGGTCGACGTGGACTGGGATGTGGACTCGGAGAAAAGGGAGAAAAAAAGACTCGCCGACTCCCTCTGAGCCGCTGCCGAGGCGGTCTGAGGTCCCGGCGGTCAGTGTGGAGGAGGTCTCTGTGACGGTGGACGACGAGGAGGTGGCGGTGGCGGTGAAGCTTGAAGACAAAGTCGTGGAGGACATCGTCGAAGACAGGCTGCTGGTCACAGAAGCCGTTTGGGTGGCCGAAGTCACGGTTTCTGTCGAGCTTGAGGAGATAGTAGTTGCGGAGGAGCTCGAAGTGGTTGTGGTGACAGCCTCAGAGCTCGCCTTCCGTGCACTACAACGCTCCTTGACATGATTCCTCTTGAGGTCAAGACGGTGACCGACTGCGTCGCGGTCCTGGCACTGCCAAAAGCAACAGATTCTGGAAACCAAACGAAGTGTTTGCCGGGCAGACGTCGAATCGGCAGGCTCGGTAGCTGTAGCGGTCCAACTGGATGTTAGTGTTCTTGTCGTGTGTGTTGCGGTGCTTCGCGTTGAGGTCGCTGTCCAAGTGATGCTTGTGCTTGACGTGGCGGAAGTAGTGCTGACTGTGCTCTGGGTTGTCGTGGCTGACGTGGCGGAACTCGCAGTCGTAGTTGAGCTACTGCTGATGCTGCTTGTCGAGGTGAAGCTGGTGGCCGTGCTTTGGGTTTTCGTGATGCTGCTGCTGGTGCTTGAAGTTGCAGTGACGGTCAGTGAAGTTGTAGCGCTCACTGTGACGGAAGTGGTCGTTGCAGTGCTTGTCGTTGCAGTTGCCGTCCCTGTGGAGGGCGTGAAAGTCCAGGTGCTGCTCGTCGCCTCGACAACCGGAGAAAAGGGCGACTGAGACTCAGAGCTCCGCGGCTCTGAGGCACCGGGCCGTGGTGGTTGGATCCTGGAAGCGCAAAAACAAACTGGCTCACGACAGGTACTTCTACTTACTCGGCTACTCGCTAGGCCCCGGGCAGGATTCACCTGGATGGCCTCCAAGCTCAGGACTTCCAGCACCACGGGAAAGCCGTCAGCATCCAGGGAAGCCTCCGACACCCCAAAAAAGGGAGAAAATGGAGACGGGCCAGGGGGCCCATGCATCCCGTTCCCTTGCCTGAAGCTTTTGGGTCATGGTCTCCGGAGACTCCAGGTCCAGGCGCCTCACGACGTCCGCCGTGGCGATGCCCCCGCCCACCACCACCTCGGCCGGGGCATTTTGCGGTGCCGATCACTCCACTGGGCTTTGGGAAAGGGAGGCCGAGACCATGGAATAAAGGAGCTCCACCGGGCTCACCTGAAGTTGCCTTGCAGAGCGACTTTCAGGCGATGCCCCTTCGGTTCGGCGGTGTGAGAGGCCTCGAGCTCGATAGCCGGCGCCCATCACACCACACAGAGACACTCACCACCGCCTCCTCCACCTCAAGGCTCAAGGCGCAAGCGAGAGAAAAGCGGCGATCCGACTGGACTATCATCTGCCTGGGCGATTTGGGCGAGCCCAAACTCCAGCCGGCTCTTCCCTCAGGGACACACAAAACTCTGCGGGCATGTGCAGAAGCCTCGGCATGCTCGCAACAGCCTCCTCTGTAGCACTCTAAAACTCCATCCTGATCATCGTTGCAGTCCTGCCCCTGACCATCCTCTTCCTATCCTCTTCCTCATCAACAGCATCACCAGCGCCCTCGTCGCCCTCGTCCCCGCACCTTCCTGGGATCGGAGTGCTGGGCAGTTCAGCGCCGCGAGGGTCATCAGTCCGACCAGGTGATCTGTGTCCTGCAACTTGCACGGTTCTTGAAAGAAAAGCCTTGGGGGTTGGCCCTACTGCCGGCAGTGGTGCCTGCGTCTGGGTCGTGGTGTGCGTCGTGGTGGTGCTCGAGACGCCCGGGACGAGTGTGGAAGTGATGCGGGTCGTCGTTGCCGTTGTCGAGGTTTCGGTCGGACACGGCCCGTCACAAGACCTCGCGAAGAGAGTCGCTTCACAGGATGAGAGCAAGCACCATGTTCACACCACAAAAAGAAGCGCGAAAGCGAAAGCCCGGCCTGAAAGCTTCGAGGAAGTACGTTGTGGTCTGGCGGCTGAAGCTGGAGATTACCTGCAGCTCTGCTCCTTGCAACTATGTAGATCGAGCAAGATCTCGAGCGCGAGCTCCCGGCTTGGATCTCAATGGACCCAGGTGCCGAGATGCCCTGTGACAGCCACTCTTGAGTGACAGCTGAGCTGTGCGGCGCAGACGCTACTGAGACGACTGAGTGCAAAGGCGAGGGAGGTGCCCCGGAGCGGCCGGCCGGAGACCAGGACGGAATCCGGCCCAAGGGCTTCGAGATCCACGCGCAACCAGTCACTCCGGCTGAACACCTCACCACGATGCGGTGCCCCTGTGTAAGATGCTCTTAATGTAAGAGGAAAATTCGCCTGATACCTGATCTCGAGGTTCCGCGAGACGAAGTTCTCGGAAGGGTCTGTGCCTCGCGAGAGAATCGGCACACGCAGAACAGCGGAGAGAGAGAGAGAGAGAGAGAGAGAGGGTCGCAGGGCCGCGGGCCGAAGCCGCGGGAGACGTCGAAGGCCGGCTGCAAGGAAACCTCCTCGCCCTCCGCGAAGGCCTTGAGAGCTCCAAGAGCTGGAGGTGAAGCCTCGGAGCTGAAAAAAGGAGAAGAGAGATCTGTGATCTTTTCTAGATGATCCTAGGCCTAGGGCCAGGGCCTAGGCCCTGTAGTAGAGAGAAGGCGAGGAGCGACGGCGGCGGTGATGCGGAGGCTGCGAGGTGGCAGCGATGCCGAGGGCGTCGTCGCGAGCAGTCGGAGCTCCATCTGCTCGCTCCAACCACTGGTCTTCCTAGGAGCATCCGCTTTTGAAGCGGGCTGGGAGCCTCCCCTCTCGGCTCTTTTTCCCTCCCTGGTGCGAGTCGAAGCCTCCCCGCCAAGTCGAAGGCGGCCTGGAAGGAGCTTCTCCCCGCGAAGCTGTCGTCGGTCCTCAAATTTGCAGCCCCTTTGCAGTGGGAGCGGAGGCAGCGGAGGGGCAGCGGAGGCAGCGGGAGGCGGGAGCCGGTGTCCTGGAAAAGCTGCGCTTCTGGAGCACTCCGCCAGTGGGCTCGAAGGACAACCAGGCCGGTACCTCGCGCTTCGCTGCGCGAATCGGCACCCCTCCCCTCCCTCCCTCGCTCGCGCCAGTGAGAGGCGCACGACCGCATCCAGCTGCCAGTCGACGTCCTCGTCGCCTTGGTTCCTCAGATTTTGCAGAAGACAAGAGCAAGGCTAAGCCGGGCTGGGCCAGGGGGCCGCAAGAAGAAGTCCCCGCGGCCCAGAGGAAGCGCATCGGGGGCCGCGAGCAGCTCTGGGGAGGAGAGGACGTGGGCGTAGAGATACTCGCTCTCCGGGTCCTGTCTTACTCATGCGGCGGAAGGGAGAGAAAAAAGAACAAAGCAAAAAGCAGAGCAAAGCAAAGCAAAGAGACCAGAGACGACGGAGACCACAGACGCAGACTGCGCCTGAGCGATGGAGAGGTACACCAGGTCGAGAGTTCCAGAGGATCGGGTCACGGAGCATCCTTGGCCGACGACGCCCTCGTCGCCTCGGGGCCGGTTCTCCCTACTCGCGCTGTGCTGTGCTCTGCGCTCTCCTTCCCTCAGCTCTCCGGGGGCCCTGCAGGAGCACGTGCTGCTCGTGGCATCACAGGTCCCTTCAAAAAGGGCGAAGAGAGGAGCGCTCTCTCTCCAGAACCTCAAAACAGAAAGTCCCTTCTTCCGCCTTGGCCGCTGCACCAGGAGGTGTTTCCATCACCCACTGTGCGGCCGGGGCAGCTTCTCACGTCAGTGGCACGATCCTGGGAAGCACGTCGCACCCAGACGAGAAGCTGCGTTCTGCTTGCAAAGTCATGTTGCAGAGGCTCTCCACTCGACCGAAAGTAACCGGACTCGGGCAAAGACAGGCCAAGTCAGCTGTATTGGCTCACGTCTGCACAACAGCGTCGGAGTGTGATATCACAACCTTTCAAAACGCCCCGGAAAATGCCCTTCTATACTCGTAGTCATGCCAGCAGACAGTTGCTTTGCAGCGGCAGGTGTGCAGGACTGTGTCTGGATAGCAGCTTCTGGGGTCTGGCTGGCTGTACACGGATGCAACAACAACAAAATCCGCGTTGCGCCAAGTCACGGGGGGCGCTGCTCGGATTGCCTCCGGGACTACGACAAACGCTGCAAGGGCCGCCTTTCGATGGCCGTTTTCAGATTCGCCTCCTTGAAGTCCTCGTCGCTGGTTGCCGGGAACACCTCCTTTGCACAGATGCCACTGATAAGAAGAGCCTATGATTTCAGCAGGCTTGGCTTGCAGATCGCCCCAATAAGAGTGCAGCGCGGGCATGTCAAGACACGGTGTGGATGTTAATTGCCCCCTTCTTTAGGAGTGCTGCAGGTTTCAATGATAGCCGCTTACCGCCGACAAACCGGTCATGTCGCACCACGATGCATGCCACGGGGTGGGGAGTTGTGTCGGATCAACGGGGGCCTGAGTTCCGGTCAGCCTCGGGGCAAGAAGGGGGTTTCCTGAGTTTTTTCTGGTCCGAGCACTCGTTTTTCTCCCACAACCGGTGATTCGGAACCGAAGACTCGGAAACCAGGAAAAGGATCATTTACAAACCTTGAAACGGGCTATTGAGCAAGAACAACGAAGAAGACAGAACGCACGACGAAGCCAAAACACACCCACGACGAAAAGCCAACAACAAGCCAGCAATACGACCTCGACAGATGCCGACGACTGCGAACAATCGTCGAACGAGCGGGGGTTTTAAGACGTGGGGTAAACCCACTGCCTCACGAGCGGCCGGGTTTGAGAATTGAGACAAACAGCAGGGATCTGATGAGGCCGGATTCCAAAATGAGATCTCTCGCCTGATGAGGGGGCTAGATCGCCTAATAGGAGGCGGGCTGAACGTTTGATATGTGCGATCCTCCGCTTTTGGCCAAATCAACTGCCAAGGCTTATTGTGTGGGGAAAGTCACAGATATTCCCTACAGGTGGAATTCCTGGCTAGGAAAGCTTCATGCTCTCCTTCCGAAGCTCCTCCAGCCTTCCCAGATTCAGATCCTCCTGAGCAGATTGTGAAGCTCCCTCACAAAAAACTCCGATCCTTGCACGGAGCCTCGAAGATTTTGATTTGGCCCTCCGACACGTGGAAGGCAACAGTCGCCAGGTAGCAGAAGACTCCAGCTGCGACTATCGAGAGCAGGATCAAGAGGCAGCGAGAGTGATAGAGACCTCGGTAAACGAAGATGCGGAAAATGCTGCCCAGTAACTTCTCTGGGGCAAGAACACGGAGAGAAGCGCTTCGCCACGACCCGCTCGACCAGTCCCAAGTCCTCTCCGCAGCGCTTGTCGGCAGAGTTCTGGCTCTGGCTCTGGCTCCTGGTGCTTCACGTCCGTCACCCCCTGGCGATGCTCGTAAAGGCCCTACAAAAAAACAAAAAATGCCGGCATGGAAGGGTGCCGGCCTTGACCAGCAATCTCTGCTTGGACTGAATGGCCTGGAAAGAGGCGAGAAGAAACATGGGGTGCAGAAGACGAGGCTGCCAGTGCCGGCACAACGACACCCTACATCCGTGGATTGCCAGAGGACGTGTGCAAGGCACCAGCGCAGTTGTGCACATGAGCGCACTTGTGCATACGGCATACGCGTGGCGTGTGTACGTCTGCGTACGCATGTGTACGGTACGCTTGTCTACGCAGCCACTGCGTTGCTCGCTCGTTTGCCTGGGCCTGCGTGCGCATGCACGTGGGTGTGAGTGCTGGTGTGGGTGTACAGGGTGTCGTTGTAGCTGGCTCAGCCATCAGACATGCACTGCTTTGCATCCATGCTAAGCAAAGCCACGCTCTGCGTCGCCTGGGCGACGTGATCGCGCCGACCTGGGCTGCTTCAGAGGAACGACCTGGCATTTCCCTGGCGATGCGGCCTTCAGGAGATCGCTTTCGGCAGCAGCAAGTCAGAAGCGGAATGATGTAGAGGTCGTTTACCAGGATCGCTGCCGGAAAGATGATCAACACCTCATGCAGCTCTTTCACAGCTCGGGAGGGGACTCGCTGCACTAGGGAGGAGGCATTCAAGAAATTCCATGCCACGAGAGTTGCCATGAAGAAGCCGAAGCTCCTCCACAAAACGCACGGGCTGTGGCAGAGGGCGTCTTAGTCTTAGGGTTTCACAGGATTTACAAGCTTAGGGTTCAAGGCGCTGGGGGACTCCTGGCCTCTGCAGGCCCGAGCCAATGTCAGATGAAATTCTCAGTGGAGATCTCTGCACCGATATGTACGGTTGCATAAATCCCATGCAGTTTTGCAATAACGGTTAGCGACCAGTCTACATTCTACATCCGAGTCATCTGAGCGTGTGAGCTACCAGCCACGCACTTCGTGCCGATCCTCTGCGTTCCTTTCAAGAGGTTTCCTATGCTGCATGATTTCGATAGGAAACTTGTCAAAGTACGGGGCTCAGGAGGTCTGTGCTGTCTTTGGCAAGATATTCGCTGACCTTAATTTCACGGTAAGGACCTCAAACCACAGCAAAGGCAGAAGCCACATTTTGAGGACACCGAAGAATTGGTGCTGAGACCAGACGAAGCATAAACTCTCGATGTGTGAGTAGCTCCTCACCACAGTCACGATGGAGAAGCAGTTGGCATAAAAGGAACCGCATGTTGTTACTGTCCTGAGATGCAGAGACTCCTGGGCTTTGGATGCAGAGACTGAGGGCTGAGGGCGTGGCGTGACCAGCATCGGTGCGGTCCCCTCCTTATACGCCCACCGCATCTTCTGCTGTGGAGTGGCCTGGCTTCCGGAAATTCGCGTCCACCAGACAGAGTGCAGACTTTGCACCTCTGCACCCAGCAGCACAGCCGCAAGAGAGTAAGTGTTGAAAAGCAGAAGCACGTCATCTGCTGCAATGCCTCTGCCGAAAAGGCGAGACATGGCAAGCGGGAACGAGAGAGCCGCGCCTAGGATCACGAAGAGAGAGACGAAGTCCAGGATGCTCAGGGCCTTGAAACCTCAGGGAACTTCCCACGCCGGGGCTTCGGGCCTAAGGAGTACCCTCAGCCAGGCAGGAGGCCGGCGACGACGAAGTGAAAGTAGTAGGTCCCCACAAAAGCCAGGGCCACCCCTCAGAGAGTCACCAAAGCGATTGCAAGAGTCGGCAGCAGCCACCTACGTCACTTGCCCTTCCCGAAGCTCAGGGCCGCGGGGCCGCGGCAGCTCGCCCAAGTGAGGCTCGGGCCGATGGCACCGAAGAAGGTGATGAAGAGATTTTGGATCCGCGCCAACACCAGCAAGGCGACCGTTGCCATCGTGCCCAGCGCAAAGAGCGTATCGAAGCGCAAATAGTACAAAATCCTAAGAGCTCTCTGTGGATGAAAGGAGGCACATCACTGTTTCTTCAAGCAGCAGAAGCTCCACCGACATGCCCCCAAGGTCTACCCCTTGCTCTTGGTGACGAGGGACTCGTAGTTGTTGATCCTGGCATGTGACAGGTTCTGCGGGCCAATCCACACCCTCCCAGTTTTGGGCACAGTTAATGGAAGGAGCTCCTCCTCTCATACCACGTAAACTTCACGTGCTTGTAGGGAAGGGCATCGTCCCCGGTCAAATCGGCTCGTCGCAAGAACTCCTCGAACAGGCGGCCTGACACCACACCGCAGATATCCGGGGCTTTGAAAATGAGGCTCTTTTCATGACAATCCTCTTGAGACAAAGGCAGAAGATGTTGAAACTTACAGGAAGCGTCTTCCCACAGAAGGCAGGTGCAAACGCAGATGAGATATCAGAAAGCGAATGCAAGAAATTGCAGGCGGATCCGTTCAGCAACACCTCCGCTGAGCTTCTGATCCAGTCTTGGGCATCTTGCGTCAGACGCAAGTCGAATGGACAAAGAGTGATGAGAGCTTTGACGATTCAACACGAAGTTACAGGAGTGTTCCCCTATTTCAGGATGTTGGTGCCTAGTAGACATTGACATGCTACTCTTGCCCATCTGGCCACACCTGCACCGATGTTGTTCAACAACTGTGCAGACGCACCAACTGAGAAAACTGACTTTACAAAAAGCTTATTATAACACAGGACTCGTAGGCCCTGGTTCCAAACGCTAAGACCAGAAACCTCCAAACAGAAAAGAACCCAAAGCGCACGCATGCCCCTAAACTGTTGGCCCCGAACCCAGACCCTCGCACAGCCGAATTTCAAATTCAGAATCCAACACAGCACACCACACTGCCCTGCCCTGCCTAGCCAGGCATTAATCTTCGCCTCCTGTTCAGCACGTCGATCATCCCAGCTCGAGTATCCAGGCAGTGGCGCACCTTCACCAGGTTAGGCAGTGCGCCATGCGCATGGTGGGCAAAGCTTGCACTGTACAAGGAAAGCCTCCATACAGGGTCGCACGTGAGTACCTTGTCAGGGCCGTGGGAAATCGGGCTGGCCGGGGAGAGATCGGATGGGTCCCGAACTGGCTCTTCAAGTTGTTGCGGTTGAAATCGCCATCCGTCCACCTCATACTTTCGACGTGCTGGGCAGAAACTGCCCCAGCTCAGGACCACGCCAGCGGATCTCGTTATTCAAGAGCTCCTTCAAGACAGACTCCTCGCCAATGAGGGCCAAAGGCGGATCCTTTCGTGCAGCCCTTGTGCTGAGACGGGCACGATGTCCGCGAGCGTGCCCGAACCATCGTATGCCCTGTCACAGTGCGCCCAAAAAGCCCATCTCTTCCCTTGCCGAGCCACAGGGCGCGCACAGTGACATGGTGGAGCCGTTGTGGAGGCTGGCATTCGGCCTAAGCGGCGAGGCCCTGACTCAGCTTTGACCCTCTCGTCAGCCGAAGCACACTGAATAGAAGAGGTTCTTCACCTTAGACAAGACACCGAGGACGTGAAGATTCCCGCTTCCAGAACTGCCTTCTCTTCAGACAGGGTGCAGAGTAAGGCACATCACAGGAAGATCCTCGATCGTGCCACCTGGAAAAGCTGCGGCACGCACCGGGACCGACGAGGACGTTCAAGGCAGTGCAATGCTGACTGTGGATCAGCAAGTTTCGCGCGCCTCCGACAGAAGTCTCCATATCCATCGAAGGACACCTTATGCCAGAATTGTCCAGATCTTAGCAAGCTCAATCTAACTTGGTCGCACTCAGTTCACCCAGGGGCCAATTGATCTTCGAAATCCTTGATCTCCTTCAAGGCTTCTTCGGTGAAGATGCCTGGAAGTAGAATCGTAGGGCAAAACCGCAAGAAGTCTGTGCACACACAGTCTGCCTGTGCTCGGGTCCACGGCTTGGTAGAAGATGTCCAGCTCCCAAATCTGGTATGCCTGAGAATTCATTTGACATGGGCTACGGCCTCTATGACAACAGCGGCTGTGGGCTGCAGGCACTAAGCCGCTCGTAACACTAGTCAGGCCCAGCAGCAAGCGGCGTCTGCTCTTGCACCCTTGGTTGCGAGGCCACCGGCGCCATTCAATCAATCCGAAGACTGAGTTCAGAAGCCCTTGCAGCCGACGCCCAAGGCCAGCGTCCTGCGTGACGAGAATGACAAGAGCTCAACGAAGCGACTGCGGCTGCGGTGCTGTCAAAGCACATGCCTCCATGGAGCCATTGCTCCTTGCAGGCTCAAAGCGTGCACAACATCTCTGCCGCCGCAGCTTGGCCTCTGTCTTTGCTCATAGTCGTAGACCGTCCAGCCCTTCAAGAACGGGCCGTGCTCCCGACACGACTCTCCCCGTCTCTCTTCATCTGACTCCGACCCTGCCCCACCCTCCATTCTTGTGATCTCCGCCGGCGGTCCCCCGTCTTGCGCCTCAACGGCCAGCCGAGGCTCCGGCAAACGCTGCCACATTTGAACGCCGGCCGCTTTTTCAGCTCTGAGTGCTGGACACCTGTTCTGAGGAGGCCTCGTCGGCGGCGTCCAGCAAGTACTGCTCCTTCAGACCACAAAGGGCTCCTCGACTTTTGCGCTTTTATTGGGGATCGTGCGCTCCTCCAGTTCGGCCCGCAGGTAGTCGGAAAAATCCAAGTTGACCTCATTTGACACCCCCAAGGCCAAGGCCCCCAAGAGTCAAAGAACTCTTGCAGATAAGAAACATTCACTGCAAAGCCTCCAAAGCACAATCTGCGGCTTGCATGAGAAACAGTGGCAAAGCCTGCGGAGCTCAGCCCCAAAAGTCCGAAGCTACAGGGCAAAGCCTTGTGGCGCAGGAACGCAGCGTCTGACAGTTTCTCACATCAAGGGTCTCTCAGGACCAAGCAATGCCGAACAGCAGCACAAAACATGGGCAACCTCAAGAAAGGCCACCGATGCTGGCATGAACATCGGCCGAGACCCCTGAGACTTCGGCTCGTCAGAACCCAAAGCCACAGGTCCGTAGGCGTTAGGAGACGCGCGTCGGGATTCTTGGACAGGCGCCAGCGCCAAATTGGCACAGCTACCTTGTCACGGCAGAATTCAAAGACCCGGCCCTCCCACAGCGGACTCGGCGACTCGGGCCAAGTGCCACGTAGCCGGCCACAAGAATGCAGGCCACGAAGAGGAAACCGATCCTTTGCAAGCTGCCCCCTCTTCTCGAGACCCAAAAACTTCCGCCGGGAATCCCTTGCCGTCAAGAGTCGCTGGCAGCAGCTCATCGTTCATTCGCACATCGTGCGAAAGTTTGGCTACTAGGTCGCTGTGCGCTCTGTGCAAGCTGCTGAAAAAACCATGATCTTGCTGTCTGAACCCCAGGACCCATTGCCGGGATTCTGTCGGTTTCCACGGTACGAAAACTAAGCATTCCAAGAGGTCATGATCCTTCCCAACTCGAGCATCGGCATGAGTCACCACACACATGCCGCAACGGCGGGAAACTCTTAGCGAGCCGTGTGCGCGTTGCGCATGAGCGCAGTCTGCGCAGCGCATAAAAGTCTAAAATACGCAACTCGAAAAAGCACAAAAATGCGCTTAGCAGAAACACGAACACCATTGCATAACGAAATAAACGGAAAACGCTATATACGCGAAAAACACAAAACACTAAAGACACCAAAATCGAAAACACACGAGCAGGATTCCGAGTAACATAGCTAATCGATACAATAGGCTAGAACCAAATCTTGCTATGCAACATTGTTACTACTTCTTGTTTTACCATTCTGAAAAAGTTACTAGTATTACGACTGCTGTCTGCTATTACTGATATGCGCTTTGTGCCGCGTGTTGGCATGATTCGCGTTTTCGCCGCCTGTTTGACGACTTTCGCGTTCTCACGTGTTTCGTGCTCTCGTGCTAGGCGCTTGTCCACCTTCCTTTTTTGAGGTCCTTTTCGCGGATGGCATGTCACTTTCCAAACTTTGCCTATTCCTGCATAAATCTACGTGCTACTCCCCCACAAACACGAAAAGGATTACGTGCTATTGCTTTGCTCTGTTGTATTCCTGGTACATGAACTGCAAACACAAACGCACTAATGCAAGCGGACTCCTTCTGCTGACACTGAGCGGGGGCATGTAATTTCGGAATGAGAACAAACCTAAGCGCAGTGTAATCACATCGCACTTCAATTAAGTGGATGCACACATCCAGCATACGAAAGTGCGAGACGATAGCAGATCCTGTTTCCGCATATCTAAATCCTGTCATAAGACCTACGGGTAATCCTGCTCCCTTGTAAGACTTGTTGGGTGGGACACCACAGAAAAGCCTGGAAACATAAGACTTCTTGGATGGGACACTACAGTGGACCTTGCTTGCTCATAACACCTACGGATGGGACACTAAAGTGAATCTTGTTCCCTTAAAAAGCCGTGATGGGTGGGACACTAGAGCAAATCCTACTTCCTCATAAGACTTACGGTTGGGACACTGAAGCCAATCCTGCATTTGTTTTGGACTTATTGGGTGGGACACTAAAGCAGTTCCTACCTGCTCACAAGACCCACCCTATTTCTTCCTCATAAGACCTACGGATGGGACACCAAAGCAAATCCTGCCAGCTCACAACACCAATAATTAGGTGAGACACTAAGGCAAATCCTGCTTCCTTGTAAGACTTGCTGGG